TCTGTATCTTATATATATATATATATATATATATATATATATATATATATATATATATATATACATACACATTAATGACATTTAGATAGTATTGATAAAATACACAGTCAAACAAATGCATCCCATAATGATTGTGATATGTTTATACCTTTCATGCCACTGTTTTTCAAATGGTAAGGTTCTGGCAAACACAGCAGCCAGCTTTTTACCATAAAAATAGTCCTACTAGATGTGTTTTCTTTTGCCCTGAAAGGCTTTTAATGGATTTTGGGGCTCTGTTCATACTAAAACACTCATAGGTTGAACACTCATACAGTTTTACATACTGTACAATTTCAATCAGCACTTAGATTGAAAAGTTGAAATTGATAAAAAAAAGCCCAAAGCCAAAAACAGTCACAAACTTAGTGCATGAGACATCTATTGCTTGTTATCTACTGATGAGAGATGTTGTATGCAAAATGTTGACTGAATGGGATTGTATCTGTATGTATGATATGTACAATTATGTGTTGACTCATAGTGGAAAGCCTGAGGAGAAACCCAGTATCTGATATCAGTGTGTGTATCATCATCTGCTTTATCAAATAGATAGTGGTTGGTGTCAGAAATCAATGTATGATAATTACAGATAAGTAAACAGATAATGTCTTGTTTGCTGTTTAGATGCAGGTGTTTGTGAACCAGCTGTATCATTCTCCAGTAGTGACGCAAGGAAAGCCGAACCCAGACCTTCAGGCCATCCGAATTGCCTCTGTCAACCCTATTCTGGACCCCTGGATCTACATCCTGCTGAGAAAGACAGTCATGCAGAAGATTCTGGAAAAGATCAAGTGCCTCTTCTGCCGTATCGGTGGGAGGAGACACGGGAGGAGCCCAACGGAGTTCCACTGCGGTAACGGCGTCCACAGCTCATCAGTCATGTCTCGTGATTTGCCGTCGCTAGCGTTGCCCGAGCTGCCAGAGGTGATCAGCACATCACAGATGTACCTGTATCCCATGGAGGCGGGACAGGAAATGGGCTGCTGCGGTGGCTCTGTGCAGAGCAGGACGTGTTCGACTTCAACCGAGCAAACCCTTCTGCGGGACTCTCAGGTGGTAGAGCTCAGCAGTGGAGAAAACAGGACGGAAACAGGCACGGACTTTGTGAAATCACATTCGTGCACGCACGCCAACACAAATGAAGCCCAATGTTCCAAGCACCAGCCGCTGCAGGTAACCTTTACAGATGAGAATTTGAGCTTACAAGAAAGAAGCATATGATGCATGCTGAAAGACTTGCTTAGTTCAGCAGAACGATGTGTCGGGAGGTGAAATACATTTCAAGAGCTTGATGTGAGTGTTGTGAATGAGAACTACTCAGAGCAAAAACTGAAAGAAAGAATTCCTAAAAACTCATGAGACTAAAGAGAAAAGTTTAAGAGAAAGACTAACCAAAGGACTAAACTTTGTGCTAGAAAGTGAAAAAAAGTGCTTACTAAAGTAGGAAAAACAATGTTGCTATATATGCTATATATGGGTCAAAACATGCAAAAAAAATTGCATGAAGGGGTTCTGGAAAGAGCGAAAGAGCAGAGGAGGATACAGAGGCAAACTGGCCTCATTTTCTGATAGTAATTCATAATGCATTTAAAAAAAAAAAAGACTGCATTTTCTAAACAGTGAAACAGAGCTCTAAAAATGTATATTTAATTTATTGTAAGTTCTTGTGAATTTCTGCAGAAAAGGCCTTCGTATTAGATGAATACAGTTCCACTGGGCCCTGATTGACTGATTTGATTGACCCGGGCAAATCTTGATTAGATTTGATGGACGACCATGTGAGCAAATATCTACTGCCCTGCTTCAAGTCCCCCTTTTGCAGACATTCTGGTGAGATCTCCATTAGGTCACAAGTTCAAGTAACCAGAGTGCCTTGTTAGCTTTTCTCATGCTGGAACTCGTGGTTTAAAATTTCCTTTTCCTTATGTTAAGGTGACCAAAACACTTTTCATTTCCATTGGTGCATAAACAACTGTCCACTATTTCAAACTTACATAAGATGTAGCTAAGTGTACATTCTTTGGAATTTCCATAATATGTACGATATTCTGTGAATTAACCAAGCAATTTCATATCCATGTTTACTGAGAGTAACACCATCACAAAATATAGCGGTACCCAAAACTCATCATACAATGTAAGAGCACATGATACACAGCACAATATTGCTAATTTTTGTTTAATTTAAAGTATGTGTAAATGATAGAATGTATAGTGAGGAGATGAAATTGTAAAAGCTATTAAGATGTTGAATGTCTTTTAAGATCGTATGTTTTGCACTTTTAAATCCTTGTAACCGCTGAGGAAAATTTGAACTGTCACTATCAGTCAGTGGTCATCGAGGAAGAACTGTTCATCTGTTCATACTTGTGATGTTAAAATGTGAACGCTGTCTTGATTTAATTTATTGTAGTCTTTTTAGACAATCTTTTGACTCTAGTTATTTCTTCTCTGTGAGAAGGTCAAGTTTAAGATGGTTCTGCTCATGTTGAAGCAGTTATATTGCTTTTGTTTCATTTCACAATTCTTATGTGTATCAAAACAGCATGAGGCATGATTTAAACTACTTAGCACCATCATCTGCTGCATGTATATAAATGATTCAACATTACTGTGTATATTTTCACCATTTCATTTTCACATTTTCAAACACAAAGACAATCTTGTCTCCCTCTTACCCTCGATGTGACCCTCCAGAATGTGCAATGGCCAGCTATTTATGCTGAAATAAACTCTTGAACTGAAGACAAATAGAAAACAAAAATCTTATGGTATTTGTTGTCGCACTCTTAAATATTAATAAGCATAGCAGCTATATAACATAATTCAAATATAATTGAAATCATTTAAATGAATTGAAAGTTACCAGTCCTACCAAGCATTACAAATCAATTTAATATATCAGATTATTACAAAATTGGATGTTGTCAATTAGCCTTAGGGATTACAGAATAAAGTTTAAAATAAAATTCTCCACTTGCTATCAAAATTAAAGGCAAATGAGTAATCAAAAACATTTGAGAAATTGTTTGAGAAAGCCAATTTTTTTAATCTTGATTTGGCATTCAAGCAATTAAATATGACTTCAGAGATGCAAAAAGTCTTATGTCAATGAACACAATGGATCTGTTCAAAAATTATAAACAATTTACTGATGGGACAAGTCCAAAATTAAAAAACAAGACCGGTATTCATAAGACATGTGCACACTCATCCTACTCAGCATAGATTGGATCTGTATGTGGAAAAAGACAGATGACCCATAATGACCCAAAATATAGTTTCAAGCGTAATGTTTCCAATGTGTCAGCAATTCTTGTGTCCACTTTTTTAAATGGCCAGAGCTCATTATATTTTTAGAAGAATAAATGACTGGTCAGGTTAGGTCATGTTAGACCTCTTAAATTCTTGGATAAAACCATCTCATTCATCATATTGCATCCACATCCTTAAATATATAAACTCTGACATTCCGTTTGCTTTTGTGGTTCAAACTAAATAAGCCCAGTGATTCACTGGGGTATCATTATATGATCCTTACACGATGACCAATGTGCAGGGACAGATCTGGAGACCTTCACCAACTGTAGACATCCCATAATTTCATTTGCTCATGAAGGGAAATCAGTTCTACTCTCCACTGCAAGTATTCTCAGCATGAATCATGGATTTGTGCACTTGATGTGAGGTACAAACTGCCACCTGTCCCGCTTCCATACGTATACATAAATGAGAACTGATAAAAGCGATCTTTAACTGCAGTCTTACAGCAGCACAGTCCACAGTCCATCAGTTTCAGGCATCTCTCTAAAACATCATTAGCCAAGACGTTAGTGTCCTCATTTATTTGAATAAAGCAACAATTAGCAAAGGATTAGCGGGAGGCAGAAGGATGCTGGAAGCTTCCGCCAGGTCCCACAGGTGCCAAATAAAAAGCATTAGAGACGTAAATGTCCCAGTTTGCAGCCCACGCACGCAGCTGGACAGTATCAGTGCAGATAGTGTATGAATGCCTATGAATAATGGGGTCAGAGGCAGTAACAGCCAAGAACACGTACACATGTAAGTCATGTCACAATCAAACTGAAATTGTGGGGTACTTGGTAGAATAACAGAATAAAGCATATTTCATTTTGAACGAGGGGAACAAAGTAGTTTTAGGCTTTATATTATATTCAATAATATAATATATTATATTATATATTGGATAATGAGTACTGTTTTTTATGAAGATGTTAATGTCGGGTATTCTTATATAAAAAAAAAAAAAAAACCTGCAGCAACCTGTAGCACATTATTCTACCTGCACATAGAATGCATTTAATCCTTATATAATCCTATAATAAAGCATGCAAACTAAAAGTCTGTTTTCAGTCAACAGTCAATGGTTAATATGACCTCTCTCCTCTCCTGCATGATCTTTAGCCAGAGTTTAACCCATGACTCCTACTTCATTTCTTAGTAGCACTAACTAAACTCCAAAAGTCTGTAGATAGATAATGGAGCAAATGTGTGTGTTTGTGTGTATCTTGCTCTTCCCACTGGTACATCAGAGATTCACACTGCTTTAACAGCACTCGGGTCCCAAGTTAGGGCTCACATCTCACATAAATCAGGACTGAAACAAAGCCAACTACGAATGATGACATTGCTAATCAAGACAAACATCAAGGGTACATTAAAGGGGTCATGAATCAGAATTCTCTTAATTGATCATTTGACATCTAAGAGGCCATTGTACTATAAAAACATCCTGTAAGTTTCAGAACTCAAAACATTCTCATTAATATAAAAACAGCTAAATATTGAAGCCAGTCTGTCAAAACGACAGCTTGTGGAATGTACCACTTTATGATGTAATAGTGTGGTTAACACCGCCTCCACAGAAAAAGTTCAACGCCTGCTTCTACATCACTGCCTGTTTAGCCCAGCCCACCGATTTGCGCATGTAGTGTAAATAACGAAAGTGTCAAATGCAGAAACCCAACAATAAAGATGGCTTAGAAGACAACAAAACACAGTGCCAAGCTGTGGAAAAACTCAGTCTTTGCACTGCCTTCCTTCTGATTCCAACATTAGGAAACAATGGATGAACTTTATTTTTAAAGAATTTCCAGACCGCGTCAGTGAGAACTTGGTCCTTAGTTCATTTCATTTTACCGTGGAATTCGACACAGGATTTCCAGAAAGATTGAAACTAAAAGACGATGCTGTGCTGACTATATTGGATCCGATCCAACAGTAATGTCGCACCACACAAATGTGAGTAACTGTTTGGTATTATGTGATCACTATTGCTTTGTCTGTTATTACAGATCGTTTGATATGTACTGAGTATTCATGCGTTTTTAACCTAAATGACAGCACTGTTCATCTATGAAGGATGTAGGCTGTCAAACATAGGCAACTGTTAGCCAATCATAGCAGTGGGCGTTTACTTCCGAGTCTACAATCTGTCAAACCTATTCAAATAGAGCGTTCTGATGTGGGGGGTGAAAAACAGGACAGAAAATAGCCAATTACTTTTAAATTATGATGATTTTTGATGTAAAAATCTTTATAACATTATAAGGGCACCTCAGAGAACAGTGAAAAAAAAAGGCAGTTCTTGATCCTTTTAAAAAGGGATTGCTCTGCTATTTTGGAAACTTAAAAGGCGATGCTTAGCTGTGCTAAAACTATGAAATAACCACAGAATGCTTCAGTAAAAGGAAGGAATTTATGCTCTTGTTTGAGTGAAAATGATCCAGAAGCATTTCAAATTCTTCTTGGAATCTGGTACTCACTTTACAAATTCACTGGGAATAGTAACTTTGTTAAACACTATGAGGAAGTCAATCAGAATCCTGGATTATCAAATAAACTTAACAATACATACATAATCTAAACAATATACACATGAGGAGACACAAAACCAGCCACTATTTTATTTAGAGTCCTCGTGCCTTGACTAAAACACTCTGTGAGGATGAAGTGGGTTTGCTGTCATCTTCGACAATCAGCTCTTTGGCGACTCCGTGTGCGTCCACAACAACCGCTGTTTTCTTTAGGTCCTCATATTTTTTCTGTCTATCAGCCATGGCAGTGCAAGCCTCAATCACTTCATCGCTTTCAAAATCATAATCACTCTTCAGCTCAGGAGCTTCCACAAGGAGCCTTCGAGCTTCGTCTTCCTGTTTCTCTCTTTCACGGAGAGCTTTTTGCTGCTCCTGGAGCTGTAGGGCCCAGCCTAGGTCTTCCTCCCAGAGGGGCCGCTCAGACGGATGCAGGTGCAATGCCACTTGGAAGGACCGTACAGCCTGCAACACACAGAGGGAACATTAAACGTGTGGGAATTAACATAAAATAGGATTAATAAATGCTTTAGAAGTAGTTATCATTCTCAGTCAAGGTTAACCAATTTAATCTTATTGTAAATGTGTTATTTGATCAATAATACAGTAAACACTAATACTATGAAATATTATTAAAATTTGAAAAATTGTTTTAGATTTTAATATATTTCAAAATGTAATTTATTCCTCTGAGGAAAAACTGAATTTTCAGCAGCCTTTACAGTCTTCAGTGTCACATGATCCTTCAGAAATAATAAAGAAACAAATAAACACCTTCCTGGTCCACCCTGACAAATCCACCAACAAAATTTGTCATACATGTACATCTTGAGATTAATCTTTAAGTCTAACTCTTCGAACCTACAGTTAACTTCTATCTCAAGAAGTCCAGTTTCATTTAAATAATTTCATGGTGTTATTTGAACTTAAATGTTTGATATGACCAAAAGCAGTGGCACACTGAATGCTAGTTCTGCCCTCTGCTGTGTTTTGCTAAAATATAACATGCATGGACTCTATAGCACTTCATGAGCACATACCTTACACTCCAAAATGAACATGAACAGACGTTTATTCCACAATCAAATCAAATGAGCATTCATGACTCCCTGCTAGTTCACATAATAAAATAAACCTCAGCAGCCTTCTGGAACTAATGAAAAAAAAAGCACTTTAAGAAATAAGCTAAAAAGAAACACTCGTGTGGTTTCAGCTCAATTTATAATAAGCTTGACTTATAATAAGCCCTAACAAATCACATCATCCAAAAAAAACCAAAAAAACAGCAGCTGCAAACCACACTATTAAGAATGAAGCAGCAACTACTACATGTGCCTGATTTATTCTACACTCAATATTTGGTATCCACAGTATTAAAATGACCGTCAGAAAGCTAAATATTTATTTCCTGAAGATGGCTTTTATGTGCAAACAGTATCACGGCTGCTTGAGTGCTGAAGAGGTCGTTCAGTCTATGGAGAACTGATCTAACATGTTAATTTAATTCTGTACGAGGTCTAAAGCCTAGTTCCTGCTGTGAATCAGTCACCCTGCTCGTGTTACCCAGGGGACGAGGGGATGAAAGAGAGAGAAAGAACGACATTTGCTTTCTCTTCATCCCCTGGGAAAATAATGAATTCATAAATAGGATTTAGCGAGCCATTTTACTTTCATAATTGCCCTATTGACTTGACAATCTACAAAGGAATGGTCGACTCCTTCAAAAGAAACACTAGATCACGTATCAGCCGTAGAGAGGAAGAATATCAGAGCCAGTGTGAGCAGGAACCAAGAATCCCTAGTCCTAGCATAGAAAACCTTTAATGAGGAATAAAGCCATCTGATGGCTTCGGGAGACCTTTTCTCCTCCAGAGTCCTGATCGATTTAGCAGAGATGATTTCAACAGTTGTGCTGAAGTCATGATATAGACTCAATCTAGCCTCCTCCATTAGAAGTGACCAACGTACAAACCGAAAAGTGCTGAATCAATCAATTATCATATTATAAATGCATGTTATTGATCTTATTGTGAACAATTATGCATTTATTTCATTTTTTAACCTCACAATTTTAATCAAAATGTCATAACTCCAGACAAAGACCATTACTAACAGCAACTTCTAAAAAAAACTTGTGTACTTTTAAAACTGTAGTACACTTTTTTTTTTGCAAGAATTTGTTGAAATATTAAGGGGACAAAAAAAACTAACCCTTCTTCTCCACCCTCTTTATTTCTTACTCAAATAAACGTTATAGAACATTCCTTTCGAATGAACTGGAGATTTCCAGGAACAGCATGATTTTCAGTAAAATGTGCTCAAAATGTGGTCAAATTGATTGGATATTAATCTTTTGTGAGCTGGAATGAATTGCCCAATGTAAAATGAGTTGTTTTTCTTTAAAGAATGTGTTCAATTATGCAATGATTAAAATTGTGGAGACTATGATTCAGAATCAAGGAAAATGCTAATCACAGTCAACTGAAAACAGACAAGCCTCATTTAAAAATGATTACAAATGATCAGCATGGTTCCAAAAGCTTCAACAATGCATAATCATTGATACCATGAACTCTACTTTGACCCAATAGACATCAATTTTATTAAAACTAATCATTTACATTAGAGCAAAATAAATGCAGGACCTCTTATTGATGGTACACATGTTCATTTGAGAATGAATGAACACTGGCACAGTTTGAATAAATCTTGAGAAATGATCATGTGCTATGAATTAAAGATTTGGGCGGGAAAATAGTTATCATCCTTGTTGTGAACAACATTTTAACAAAAAGTTAATTATCATTGCAACAGTTCTAAGAAAATGTGTTCCATGATCCTGCAAAAAAACTACAGCCCTCTTAAAAATCACAGAACGTAAACATTAGTCCTAACATGAGTCCTTCTCCATCCTCAGGTTATTTTTCTCTTTGGTGAATGACTTGACAAGGCATGCTTAGCCCAAAATAGTAAAGTATTTACTCACTTTCTAGCCAAGACGTCAAGCTCAGTGTGTGCGATGAGCATTTAGATTACTATACACACACGCAAGTAGTTACTAGCTGGAGAACTGCAGGATCTGCAAGGTTTTCTTTCATTAAGCACGTCTGTCTAATGCACACAATCACACACAGGTCGGGGCATGTAAGGTGTGGCAGTGTTCCTGTTCAAGTAATCTTCCATGCTCCTGGGCTTGGACGTACTGAACTACACATTTCATCACAATGACACTCAATTTGTGTGATGGATAAGTGGCAAGAGGACTCATTCACCTCATACTGACTGACAAGGACACTGAGAGCATAACATGGAGGGATGCTGGATGGGAGACCACAGGCTGTTCGCTTAAAAATGGAAGAGATGCTTCAGAATGCTGAATAAACTGTGTGGAAACAATTCATCCCCTAATAAACCGACTCCCAATGTCGGCTGTTCATTTAGGCTATACAGGTTGTTGCCTAGGGCCCTGATGTTGTGGGATGAGATATAATAAAAGAGAACATTTATTATATGCTGTTCGTTACTAAACACCAAAAAAAAAAAAAATAGACAAACAAAAAAGCAAGAACGCTCCAATTGCAATCAATGAACGGAACTCTGCTTATCGAATCTAAAAAAAAAAAAAAAAACATTGCATTTTTGGAATAAATATCACATTTATGCACATATTTATGTACGACATTATTATTTGCTGTCTGAAAATATTGCAGTGGTTCTATTTATTTTTATTTTTTTTACAGTAAGATCCGATGGGGCAGATTTAACTCTATACTTTTGGCATAATTACAGCTCTTTACGTAAAATCTACTTACTAGTTCTACTTCGCCAAGACTTAGTTGGGCGCGGCCCAGAGTTTGCCACGCCTCCCACCAGAGGGGGCGGAGTCTGGTGGCCATCTCTGCAGACTGCACAGCCAGGAACACTTCTTGAAGGGTGATCAACACCTAAGGATTACACATTACAAGGTTAGAAGTTGACAGACTCAATTCTTAAATATTTTCTCAACACTAATTTTGAAATCTAAAGATTTTAAAGTTGCCCCTATTATGGATTATTAATTTTTGAAAGGAATTACCTTTCATGCAGTGTGTAACGTAGCGTATGTGAATGTAAACAGTCTGCAAAGTAAAGCTGAAAGTGCATTATAAATAAAGCTATTGTCTCACAAAAGATGGAGTCGACTCTGAATGGCTTAAACGAGTCGTTTAAAATTCGAATTCCCTTTCCGTTAAGTTCACATGTCAAAACTTAACATATGCATTATGCCTGCTTACGTTCTACATGGACATCCCATGAAAACTTGAACCCTCCTCAAAGGCTGTAGCTTGTTCGTGTGGATAACATGTCAACAATTGTTATTTGGGTCTTTACTACTACATTCTGTTTCCGACATGCACTGTATGCAGTAGACCAAGCACAACAGACTGGGTCATTGGACCAATCAGAGTGGCCTCACGCAAAGGAGGGGTTTGGATAAATGAATCTTCGAATTAATAATTTGAGAGTCACTGATAAATAAGGTAAATTTAGATGCATATTATAAGAAAATGAAAGTTTTTGACCTTGCATGCATGTAAACCTGTTGTTGGGGACTCCCAAAACCAAATTATGAAGCTTCCAAATAGCATAATAGGAGCACTTTAAAAGACTAGGCATCAAACACTTGCTGACTAGGAATCATACACCAAATGAATGATGATCACAAGCTACCAGACTACTGGTTGTTTCCAACACAACAAAGTCACACAGAACACGCGCCTCATTGCTAGAAGATGCATGACAAATGAAAACAATATGAGCTCTAAAACTGACTCCTCCAACTGAATGGGATCATAGTCTGAAACTATGGAGATAAAAATGGAGTTTGTGCCCATCTGTGAAATCGGTCTCCTCCAACTGGCCAAAATCTTCAGACTGGCTGTTACTTTTGGCAATGTTAACTGACTCCTCCAGACTGCAAATCGGGGCAAAAATTTGGGCAAATGTTGTGCAGTGTATTCCAGCCTTTACAAAATCTGATTTATGCAACTTACAACAGCTCTTTAGCACATCGTTAGCAAATTAAAATTCACTTTGAGGTATGACTAGGTATAATTTATAGAACAAAACTAAATTTTCACCACAGACCTAATTTCAGTCAGATATCTAAACATGACTGGTCTAAAAAGTTAATGCAGTTTTCCTGAAGTAACACATGGTTAATTAGCCTTCAAGTTTGGTCTACAAATTAATGTCAAGAATGAGAACTCTATTCATATTTACTTAGTTACAACAGTTCCCAAGTTGATGTAATTTAAAATTTTATTTTACACACCAATAAAGCGTTATCACAACGCAAAACATCCACTTGGGCCATAAGAGAGAGACAATATAATGACAACGAGCGAGCAAACACTGCACTTCGTGGTAACACAGGGATGTTCTTACATCACAGATGTTTCCATTATGGAGTTTTATTTACTTAAAGACTTTAAATTCAGGTCAGCCCAATAATCAAAGTAAATACAAGCTTTATACTGGGCAGGGTGTTGCCAGAGTAACAGCAGTTAAAGGACAAAAATGGGCTGTAATCCGAGCCGTGCCGTACCGTACTGAGCCGTACCGAGCCGAGTCGTACCACGCAGTGGAAAAGCGCCATTAGTTTCCAGCAGGTTTGGTTCTGAATTTGCAGGCAGGCTGAAAAATGTTAGATTCACGATGAGGTGAGCGCCACTGCTAAACAGGTGTGTAATAAGCAGATGCAGGGGACATGGTGAGAGAAGAAAGGACAAATTGAGAAGGGCAATTTAAAAATAAACTGACAACGAGCGAGCAAACACTGCACTACGTGGCAACACAGGGATGTTCTTACATCACAGATGTTTCCATTATGGAGTTTTATTTACTTAAAGACTTTAAATTCAGGTCAGCCCAATAATCAAAGTAAATACAAGCTTTATACTGGGCAGGGTGTTGCCAGAGTAACAGCAGTTAAAGGACAAAAATGGGCTGTAATCCGAGCCGTGCCGTACCGTACTGAGCCGTACCGAGCCGAGTCGTACCACGCAGTGGAAAAGCGCCATTAGTTTCCAGCAGGTTTGGTTCTGAATTTGCAGGCAGGCTGAAAAATGTTAGATTCACGATGAGGTGAGCGCCACTGCTAAACAGGTGTGTAATAAGCAGATGCAGGGGACATGGTGAGAGAAGAAAGGACAAATTGAGAAGGGCAATTTAAAAATAAACTTTATGCAAACTCGACTTGTTGTGAAACATTGCTTGTAGATGGATCAGGGCAAGACCAGAGCCAATCTGCCACTTCAACGCGATCAGATTACTAATGAGAGACACACTCAATCATCACTCTTTTCAGGTGACTCACCTCATATAAACATGTGATCAGTCAGGAAAAGGTCACAAGAAGGGGAAAATAAGGACAGCCCTTGCTGAAATGAATCCCTGACCTATGCTGCGCTCAAGTGCTTCTGGGAAATTCCCACTAATGAGTTGGGAAGTCATAATTATATGATGTGAGTTCAAGTAATTTAAAAAAAAATTTTTTAAATAAATGGAATGACCGGACACTTTTATTATAGGCAAGAAAAAAAGTCCACATTAGGTGCAGCAAATAAAAGTGTAAAGTCAACATTCACAGTAATGTATTGTGATCAATAGCAATTTGAAAGAAAGTGCAGAGTTTTCTTCTGGTAATTATGCCTTTATGGTGTTGTTCATGTGCACTCAACTCAATAAATCAGCTCAATAAATTGTGATCATTCTGACATGACCAACAGATGTTCAACCTATAGTGAAGCTTCACTGAATGCAATGGATGCCAATCATTCATAACCAATAAGAAATGCGATGCTTTGTTATATATTTTTAACTGATATTATTTATTATTAAACTTAATAACCTTAATTAAAATAATGCCAAACAATTTCATACCATTTTCTATTGACTTGCTCTTTATAGCATGTAGAAAAACAACTTTATAGGTTTTCCAGATGCAGTTTTCTGAAAAGAAATATGTTTATATGCATGTAGGTATGTCTTTATTCATTTTGAAAAACTATAATAGAGACCCAATTGTATTGTAAAACCTGCTCTATCACTGTTACATTCACAGTTTCGCAAAGACTATTTGATTTAGGCTTTATCCAGTTTCTGAAGATAACACCCACATACCGAGTCTGTGTTAGATCTCTGAATGAGGGTGCTAGAAGAGAACATGAACAGACTGTTGTTGCTTTGATCGAAAATGTAATCAGGAAATCAATCAGTCGAAAGGAGTTTTAAAGTCCAACCTGTCATTTCACTCACACTCATCTTTGCCATGAAAAACAAAACTACAACAGACAACGTTGACAGACATCAAAGCCAAGACACTTGTGCCAAAGATAAGATGAAGAGCAATGAAAGAGGAGTTTAAAAGTGAAAAATAATAGAGGATGGAAAATTTAGAAAAAAAGACAGTGAAGGATGGGAAAGACAAAACAACAAGAAGACAGAAAGAACAGACTAAGTGACTAGATGTAATGACTGCTGCTGGATGTAGTCTGTCCTATGTTAGTGAAATAAGAGAGCAAACAAGTGTGTTTGTGTGTGCACTCATCTCAGTAAACAGCTATACGGTGGCCCAGTAGTGCACAACACAATGGAAACAAGCCACAACACAACGAAATTAGCACAAACAGAAACAAGCCGCAACACAACAAAATTAGCACAACACAATAGAAAAAAGCCGCAAAACAATGAAATTAGCACAACACAATGGAAACAAGACGCAACACAATGGAAACAAGACACAACACAACAAAATTAGCACAACAAAACGAAATTATAACAACACAATGGAAACAAGTCACAACACAACAAAATTAGCACAACACAATGGAAACAAGTCACACCACAACAAAATTAGCAAAACACAATGGAAACAAGTCACAACACAACAAAATTAGCACAACACAATGGAAACAAGTCACACCACAACAAAATTAGCAAAACACAATGGAAACAAGTCACAACACAACAAAATTAGCACAACACAATGGAAACAAGTCACACCACAACAAAATTAGCAAAACACAATGGAAACAAGTCACAACACAACAAAATTAGCACAACACAATGGAAACAAGTCACACCACAACAAAATTAGCAAAACACAATGGAAACAAGTCACAACACAACACAACAAAATGATCACAACACAATGGAAACAAGTCGCAACACAACAAAATTAGCACAACACAATGGAAACAAGTCACACCACAACAAAATTAGCAAAACACAATGGAAACAAGTCACAACACAACAAAATTAGCACAACACAATGGAAACAAGTCACACCACAACAAAATTAGCAAAACACAATGGAAACAAGTCACAACACAACAAAATTAGCACAACACAATGGAAACAAGTCACAACACAATGGAAACAAGCCATTAGCACAACACAATGGAAACAAGTCGCAACACAACGAAATTAGCACAACACAACGGAAACGAGACGCAACAATGGAAACAAGTCGCAATACAATGAAATTAGCACAACATAATACGAACAAGACGCAACACAAATGAAACAAGTCGCAATACAATGAAATTAGCACAACATAATGGAAACAAGACGCAACACAAATGAAACAAGCGACAACACAACACAATGACAGCACAACACTAAGAAATTGGTCCTATGCGTTATGTTGTGGCGATTTCATTGCATTGTGCACTACTGGGCCACTGTACAGCTAAGTCACTGAGCAGGCTCTATAGCACATACGTGTGCATATGATTGAGTAAGGCAAGCAAGTACACAAACATCTATGTCAAGATTTAGGGCCATTCAGCAAATTCTGTACAGACTAGTGAAGTAAAATAAAAGAGAAATCCAAATGATGCAATCCAAGACCATTCCTGAGACGAGCTTACATTGCAGATGTTGAAATCATGAAAGTCTAAAGCTTAAATCGGTCTTTGTTTTTTTTATCACAGAATTTGGTCATCATTTCAAATGCCTGCAATTTAACATAAATTAGTTATACAGTAACTAAGATCCTGATAAACAAGTTAAGAAGAGAAACTAAAATTAATTACATAACATTTCAATCTATCAATACCCTCTGTTTAGAGCAAAATTAATTTCAAGTAAGATGTCAAAGAGATGAGTCAAGTCAAGTCAAGTCAAGTCAAGTCAAGTCTGCTTTATTCATCTCTGTTGCTAATGAGACCCACTACAGTCGTGTCATCCGCAAACTTAATGAAGAGGTTGGAGTTGTGTGACGGTGTGCAGTCGTGGGTCAGCAGAGTGAAGAGGAGGGGGCTCAGCACGCATCCTTGGGGGGCCCCAGTTTTCAGTGTGATGGTGCTGGATGTGTTGCTGCCGACCCGAACTGCCTGAGGTCTTCCAGTCAGAAAGTCCAACAGCCAGTTGCACAGCGAAGTGTTGAGCCCCAGCTGGACCAGTTTGTGACTGAGCTGTTGAGGGATGATTGTGTTGAATGCTGAACTGAAGTCTATGAACAGCATTCTGAAATGTTGTGAAAGTGAAATGATGCTCGACAGAAAAAGATGAAAATGCTCGACAGAAAAATTGTCTGATGTTTTGAGATGATCTGCCTCTGGCAGATCCAAGACACTGTAATGTCCTGATAGCAGACTCTCACCTTTACTGTCAGAGCTAAAGCTGAGATGAGATGCTAGGAGTGGATAATGGTCAGGAGAGTGAAAGACAGGATATTAAAGGTAAGATGAGTGAATGAGGTGACAAATGATTGAGCAGATAAAAAGGCTGATTAGGTCATTTGTTGACTGAAACTAATGGGCATCTTTGGCTCATCATAACCTGAAACCACCATCTGCTCTACCAGCTCTGCCACCTTAACAATAATATTATTGTCAGTCTTGTGTTCCAGTGCCTTGTGTTTCCCTCCCTCTTATGCCCATTTTTGGTCTTCCTGTTCCTGTCCTCATTATGTTTATTTGGTTCCAGCTGTGTCTGATTAATTATATCATTTGCCCCTAGCATTTAAACCCTGTGTTTCCCTAAGTCTGTGTCGGCTGTTATATGTCTTCCTCGAGTTCCTGTGATTACCCTGTTGCTTGTTCCATTAAATTCCATGTTGAAGTATTCTCCTGCGTCTCCTCATTCCTTCCTCCCAGTAAAACGTAACAGAACAGCCGACCTAAAACAAAAAGTAAGGGTCGCCTTTTCTCCCCGTTTTTATTTTTTCTGGTTTTTTAAAAAGTTTTTAGTTTCCCTGTTTTCCTCCGCGGCAATGGAAGTTGCTGCTCGGTTCACCACCCTAGCTCGTCTGGATCTCCCCTTCGTTGAGTATTCCTGGGAGTTCTGCAGGCTCGCCGCGGCTACGGCCTTGGATGACTCTACCCTCAACTCGCTGTTCTGGCATGGGGCCAATTACCATCACCCCGCGGACCTCCCAGACACCACAGGACTAAGCTGGAGAGAAGGAATCCTCCGGTGTCTGGAGAGCGTCCGGCCCCGAGCCAGAACCAGCCCACCGGCCGCGGCATCCTCAAGCCCACCACCCGCCACTGTCTCAAGCCCGCCGGCCATTCCACAGTCAAGCCTGCTGGCCGCGGCTCTCTCCAGCCCACCGGCCGTGCCGATGTCAAGCCTGCCGGCCGCTCCGAGGTCAAGCCCACTGGCTGCTGCTCACACAAGCCTGCCGGCCGCCCAATTCACCCATAACCAAGGGAGGAGAATGAGGAAGAAAAGACTGTTCACAGCCCTCATCCCAGCCCCAGAGCTCGCTCCAGTGTCAGCTCCAGCCCGAGTTTGCTCCAGTGCCTGCTCCTCGAAAGAGCCTTGCTGTGCCTGCTCCTCCAGTGCGCCCTCCAGTGCCACGGGGGTAGTAGGGCTCCAGCCGTAGAGGCCGGGGCGGTGGCTGGGGCAGCGGCCCCGGAGGCTGCTCTGCCATGGCCTCCTGAACTGCCTGCACCGCCATGGCCTCCTGAGTTCCCTACTCCGCCATGGCCTCCCGAGCTCCTTGCAATGCCATGGCTCCCGAGCTCCCCGCTCCACCATGGCCTCCCGAGTCACCTGCTCCGCCATGGCTCCCCGAGCTCCCTGCTCCGCTATGGGTCCCGGAATGGGCATCGCCCCGGAAGAGGCCTTTCGTCCAGTAACCCTGTCCCCAGAGGCCTCCAGAGCGACCACCCCCCCTCCCCATTGGATGTTGTCACGCCGTGGGGGGGGGGTCCTGTGCCTTGTGTTTCCCTCCCTCTTATGCCCATTTTTGGTCTTCCTGTTCCTGTCCTCATTATGTTTATTTGGTTCCAGCTGTGTCTGATTAATTATATCATTTGCCCCTAGCATTTAAACCCTGTGTTTCCCTGAGTCTGTGTCGGCTGTTATATATCTTCCTTGAGTTCCTGTGATTACCCAGTTGCTTGTTCCATTAAATTCCATGTTGAAGTATTCTCCTGCGTCTCCTCATTCCTTCCTCCCAGTGAAACGTGACAATTATCTATTCCGTGATTTTAATCGATGATTTTCTGTGAGCATTATGCAAATATTTTACAAATATATCCTGTTACCATCTGATTTGTACAAAAGCAGGTGCTTACAAACATTTTCCCATGTGTACACTGGATGAAGACGTTGCTCTGGCTTGTTAACGTTGAGGGAGCAGCCCGCCTGGAGGGTCGTCAAAGTGCTTTTCTTTCTTTTATGGTCTTAACGCTGTCATTCATCATCGTAAAACAGGTTTACTATTCATTACAAGCTGCTAACATATTAATGTGATCTGTAAACATATTTTTTTATAAACAGCCCACCATCAGCTGAAGCAAACTCCATCCATGATCCTGTTCATGACATAATTTTAACCAACATGTAGTGAACAACAAAAATACAATCAATAATATATAATTTTAGTTATTTTTTATTAGTCAGACAGGGTAATGAACGAAACACAGCACTCCTTCAACACGGTTTATAACATTTCATTGTATTCAACACATTTTCTCACAAATACAGAGGTGGTAGACAGATGATTACTACATATCTAGGTTACTAACTTGAAGGATCTCATGTCTGATCCCAAGCAAATGTGACTCATGAACTGGTGAGTTAATGACATAGTGTAACAGCTTTGTCAGATCACCACTGCGCTCTTGTGCAAGACACTTAAACCCAATGGGGCTTTCCCTACATTAAGACATGAGAAAGCATCTGCTAAATTCCAATGGCATCATTTATTTATGTTGATGTGGGTTGCATATTCAGGATCACTATCTAAAATCGGTGGCGTCCTCAAGGAATAATAATTCCATCCAGAGACAAGGACAGATACAGTATGTCCATCATGTTCTCTATGTAAGATACAGTTTGTGTTAACAGCACAAGACGGTGAGAGACGAGAAGGTACAATACAAAAAGAAGGAAGAAAAAAACAAAATGTCAAAATGTTCTGTTATAAAGCCACAAATAGGGAGTGTGTTTGGACAGTGAAACTTGGGGAGGAGGAAATGAAAATAACAGCCGGAGAGAAAGAGAGAAGAGAGGAAAATAATGTGTCAGCATAACAGCTGTGTCTCTACATCTGCGGTAAATTCCACTATTGCAGACTTACCATTTACATTCAAATAAATTTTATAGTGTGAATGAACTTAGCAGATTTTCTTTTTTACCTGCGACTTCATCTCATACAGCACAGCATCGTCTGGTGTGAGCTGAATCGCCTCATCCCACCTCTTCAATGCCTCCCAGTTCCTACAGCAAACACATATACAGAAAATACTCCTGTAAATGATTATTTAAAATATCAAACATGCATAACAACTACAGTATGTTTAAACACACATAGTGCAAATGCACGTACAAGAACACAAACACTGCTGCACCCATTTATTAAATCACTTCATTATTATAACACTTACAATCAAACTGTTATCAAAGGCCAAATGTCTAGCATGCAAAATCTGTTTAGCAAGGTGGATTCATATGACAAATGGAATTTAAATTATTATACAACACCTACAGTGAATGAAAAAGCTAAAATAACTGCCAGTGAATAGTCTTATTCGTACCAAGCGCACAACAAATATTTGTTGGGCTGAATGAAAAGCAAATTCACACTGATACAATAGATGATTCAAACACATCTCTAGCGAGTCTGTTAACTGGTAAGCATCAGAAAAACAGGCCATTTTAATAAATAGAACAGCAATTGTGATGGCTAAAGAAAGCATGCATTTTGAGTGGCTTATCAAGACTTGGCGAATAAATAAATTTTAGCTATAAAGGCAAGACACATATTTCTAAGCATACACATGAGAGCTTTCTGGTTTGCAAAATATATAATATACTATAATATAATGGATGTATGCACTCACAGACCCTCACGACAATTGAGGCAGAGTGAGCAACATAAGGTATGTATGGGGTAAAACAGGATATTTGACGACAGGTTTAACACATGCAACTGCAAGTCTTCTCTTGTTTTCCGTCCCTCCAGAAAAAGCTAACTGACAAAAGAGTATAAATAAGTGTTTTGATAGCTCATCAGAATATGGGGTTTAAAAAAAATAACTTTCTTATGACTATAACCACTACACAAAAGAAAACAGTCTAAATATTAAAGATACTTGCATCATAAAATTTAACGTTTTAGGGTGCAAAGGAATGTTCTTGGGGAAATAGGACATGAGGAGTCAGTTTCCCCAAAATAAAACTTTATAAGGACTAAAAAGGCTGAAAGACTGAATGTTATTTGACACTAGGCTATGTTTAGATTCTTGGCATACTACTAATCTTGCGTAGACAATTTGACAGTAAATGATCAGGCCATTTTTTTCATTGTGAAAGAACCCAAAAGGCTTGTTTGCTGGTTAATTGATCAGCTGTTTTGAAAACAGACGTACAGGTACATTGTGTGCTTGAATGCTTTATGTCAGAACATGCAGCCTTCTAAGAAAACCAAAGTAATTACTGTACCTACGTCCCAAAGTTTGAAATGAGAAGTTCAAATTTCAAAACATGTCACTTGTTGGAAATGCTGGCAATGAGGGTCAGACCTCATTACCACATTAAATAGAAGACTTTGAATTTTAAGCCCTTATAAATTCCTGTAATTCTCCAGACCAAGCAGTCACCTCCTCTTCACAGAACCAGCTCCTGTATTTACACAATGTAAGCTAGTAAAAAACTAAGCTAGTGTTAAACATCAGCTGGGCAAATACAACATGCCATTTTTCTAAGAGTCCATACAAATGGTTAAGATTCATTAGGCTGTGCCATGTCTGTGTTTATCATGCAAATAATATACAGTGATTAAACGGAAGCATGGGATACTTTTTAGAGACCTGTGGTAATTGATGAGATAAGGGCTTCCTACGAAGGAATTCATTAAAGTGCCCACAGGGGAAGGAAAAAAAAGCCCTCAAAGTCAGTTAAAACAAATTTACTAGATATTTTCCAAGTACATGATTGTGAAACACGTCATAAACTATGGAAAGGCAAAAAGTACATAGTGTTACTGTACCTGCAAAAGTGGGCGTACTGTAGGTATGAGGAAAGGTGTACTCCTGTTCATATTTTCAAACGTACCTCACACTAGAGTAACATAAAATTAGCTGACTGCGCAAAACATGGTAAACAAAACTGTTCACCGATTCAATACATGGAATTTTCAGTATTTAATATCAACTTCAACAGCATAATATGTTGGAACACCTCAGGCAATGTTATGGGAACAAAGGTCAGCCAGCTATGTAATACATTTCAAATTACATATATGCTCTGTCACAATCTTACTGTACATTATTAGTCGAAAAGACAAGTGTTTGCAAAAAAACATCTTGTCATTTTTCTTCTCCGAATTGCAATAAAAACCATGTGCTGCATGTGGTAGTGTGAAAGCGTGTTTGGGTGTGGTTTTGAGAAACCTCAAACATTTTGTGTGACAAATGACATGGAGAAAGCACTAAAAACCCTTAAAAAAAAGGTCTCCACCTCATCTAAAATGTAAGAACACACACGGAGTAAAATCTGTAAAAGTAATGCGGGTCTTCGTACGTGAATGAGATTTCTCATTACACAGATGTTATAAATAACACTACAAGATCTTTGGACATATGCACTGCAAATAGACAACTTGGCACAGGGAAAAAAGAAAGTACTCATAAACACAACAGTGAGCTAAATTCACTTTACAGCTGGACCTAAGCAAAGTGGCATGAGAGCATCTATAGAATTATTGACCAATGTTTGATATGAACCAAATTTAAAGATCATGTGTGCTGTAGACCCTCAAAAAAAATTTGATCAGAAAATCAGAACTGGGCAAAATGGTTAGCAGTGTCAATATATCCAATGATGCACTGAGCAGGCAAAACATCTTCAACATCACAGTACAATGTGCTAGTATCTTGGTACAATATTTGACAAAGCATTTCTACACTATGATGTCTGGAAGTCCTGTTCCTCCCCTCATGAGGACGCTGGGACACAGACTGTATGGCGCTGCCTTTATATCCATGTTGAGCCAGGAGTCACGTGAAACTGAGTGATGTTGTGTGCAATTTGACACTGACACTATGCAATGTCAAAGTACTATTTGTCTGTTCCTTTGTAACTGTGCCTTAGACGTCAATATTTCCCGAACCCCCTGCAAACTTAATCGCTTTTTTTTATTTAAAAAGGCAGATTAAAAACAAGACAATGTGACTATTGAGGAATTTAATAATATTCAAGCATTAAGTCTTAATATCACAGAATATGCTAAATAAGCAAATTTATCAGCAAGACATGGAAATTGAAGTTGAGTCCAGCATTAGGAATATGCTAGGTAATAATAAGTCACCTGCTATTTCTGTTGTTTGGTAGCAAAATCTGTCATTTTTGAACTGTTAGCACTTTCAGAACTTAAATTACAGACATCTGTAACATCAGTTCTGCAATGGAAACTTACAAATGGTCTCATTTCATCCCACTTAATGAAGTATGCCAGGAAAGTTTAACTCAAAATGAATGTCACCCAAGAAATAGTCCCACTAATAGCGGAAAAGCTCTGACATGTGTCAAAATTACTGACTGGAGACACAAGCCATCTGTTCTGTCACATTTTTCATGACAGACAACTTACTGAATATCAATGAGATAAGGATTATAGTACTATATATTATAAGGATTATAGGATTATATTATAAGGATTATAATGACATAAATATGTCATTTTCACATGATGAAATTTGGCTGATTTCACATAATGGTCAAAACAGAAAACTCTCCTACACTGAACTGCATATGGTAATATGATATAATGTTTTGTTTAATGTATAAAAAAACTGAGTGAAAGCACACTGTTGAAAGCAAGTTTTACACCCTTTCACGATATAGTATATATATATATATATATATATATAT